GCCCCAACGGCGCCGCCCGCCGGTGGGTGGGTCAGAGCGTCGGCTCCGGAGCGTCCTGTGGGTGTTTCAGCTTTCGCTGCTCAGCGACTTTTAGACGCCCGCATTGCACAACCAGGTGTGCCAGAAAAACAGGTGTAGTGCCAAATACGAGGCGCGCAAACCCCGTACATGGCAAAAGGAGTGCTTCTTTTTTTTCACTCTCTCTGCTCAGCAGTTGAGGAAACTGAAGCTCAGATGAGGAACAGGACTTGCCCAGGTCACAGAATTGGGTGTGCCCAAGTAGGCCTGGAATCCAGTTTGCTGAACCCCAGCCGAGCGCTACTCCACCCTCTCTGTGAGCCCGCTGACTCAGACAGTCAGGACTGGCCCTTCCAGCCGCGCACGGAAGCCACCCTCACTCCTGCTGCTGTCCCATCTTCTCCGCAGTCCCTCAGGGTTCTCCTACCTCTGAATGGAGCCTGCCATCTCCTGTGGCTCTTCCTTGGCCATTGTTTATCAGGCTTCCCAACTTGGGATTTCTCTGCTTCCTTTCTGCCCTGCACTGGGTCCCAGTGGAAAGACTATGGGGCTCCAATGTGCTGGCTCTAATCCCCAATCATGTGTGACCTTGAATGAGTCACTGCATTATCTCACACTTCATTCTTTCCTCATCTGTGACCTGAGGGTGCTATTCCCTCCTCCACAACTGGGATAGATGTCACGGGTAAACCTGGTAAATGTCACTCTGGATGACTATGGCCTCACACTCTTCCTGCACTCCACCTGGGGCTCAGTTTCCTTGCTCTGGCATCAGTCCCCTACCCTCTGGAAGACTGGACCATGCTCTCTGCCACAAGGCTGCTAGTCCTCCAGGACCTGGGTTCTGTAGCAGGTCTGAACTCTGGAGTCCCTCCCACCTCTCATTCCACTGGGGCTGAGCTCCTGAGAGCTTGGTGCTTCATCTTCTTAAAAAACAGACTAGCATTTTCAGAAGAGGAAATAGAGTCAATTCATAAACTTGGGAAAAATATTTGACTTGAGCAATTAAAAGGTAAATTAAAACAACAGTCTGGAGCTCTTTTTCACCTGTAATTTTAAATGTAAAATTTAATAAAAATTGTTACTATAAATTGCTTGTGGTCATGAGATGAAACTTGGGCTCTGACCTGCTTAGGAGGATTGGGGATGGAGTCCCAGGGTGTTTGGCCTTTTTTTTCTTTTTATCATAACATATATTTTACATCAAATTTACCATTTTAACCTTTTTTTGGGGGGGGAATTAAGTTTATTTATTTTTAGAGGAGATCCTGGGGATTGAACCCAGAACCTCATGCATAATAAGCATGCAGCACTACCACTTGAGCTATACCCTCTCCCTCCTTGCTTTCACTTCTTTTGAGTATATACCCAGAATGGGATTGCTGGATCATATGGCAATTCTATGTTTTTTTTTAACTACTATACTTTTTTTTCCACACCATTTTATATTCCCATCAACAATGCACAAAAGTTCCAATTTCTCTATATCCTTGCCAACACTTGTAATTTGTTTCTGCTTTTGTTTGTTTGTTTTCTGTTTTTGTTTCTATGTTTTTTATAATGGCCAACCTAATGGATGGCTTTGATGGAGTTGGATGGGGAGGATAGGTTCATTTCAGCAGCAGGAAAGGCATATGAAATCGCTAGATCTTTGCCAGTGCAGGGTATGCCTAGGGGCAGAGCAGCCCCCTAAGGCTGAAACTTACAGAGCATGGAGAAGAGATGGCAGCAGATGAGGGCTGAAGGCAGTGACCACAGCACCATCACAGAGGCCTGAATCCTGGCTGAGAAGCTTGACTTGACTTTGTTGACATAACAGATGGCTCCAGAATCTGGATGGGTTAGAAATTCTTTCAGACTTAGTTATGAGCTTCATATCTGCAGTGGGATGCTTACTAGATGTGACCAGGGCAAGTTACTCTCCCTATCTGATCCTTAGTGTCCTCTTCCATATAGTAGGGGTTGGAGAAAATTGCAGTGGTACCTACAAGAGAGAGTTGGTTGCTGTGATTAGTAAGTTGCTATGATGGGGAGGCTTTGGGCTGTTAGAGCAGACTGCTTTGCTGCAGAGCTGACACACCCTGGCCTGTTCTGGCCTGCCTGGCAGCAGAACTCCCAGCCCAATGGACCTTGGCCCTTGGCCTATATCCTTGGTTATTCCTCCATGAATCTCAGAGCCACTCATACTGGGAGAAAAGCAAAGCAGCCCCAGGCAGGGCTGGGCCTGAGAACCCCTGGGCCTGAGCAGACCCGGAGCTGGTTGCAGGGCCTCCCAAGTGCACTGGATGTGGTAGTGTACACAGCCACATCTCACTGACTCCTCAATACGGCATCTCCAGGAGACCACAGTCACATGTCACAGACAAGGAAATTGAGGCGTGGCCAAGGTAACTTGCCCAAGGCCACCAGCTAGGAAGCAGCAGGGCCAGGATCCAAACATGATTCTCTTTGAGGACTTATGCATTACTGGAAAGTTGGACTAGATTCACTTATTTGTTCACTTGTCACTGAACAAATATTTACTGAGCATATACTA